TTTTTTTTTATAACATCGAGTACGATGAGAGGTTCTTAACTCATGTAATTATTGAAATTAGTTTATCTTTGAAAGTGGACACTGTATTTCGGACTTTTGCGTTGAGCGTCATAAAACGTTTTGGACAATCTTTTACGTCTTGAACAGTTAATATAATGAACAACGACAGCAACAACAACAACAACAATTAACAACAACAAAACAGAAAGTAAATATATTAATTACAAAGGACGTGGAACTCTCTTCGTGACGGTAGATCACTTTAAATCGGCCCCCCTAATATTTCTAAAAGCTCTCCCTTGATTGCGTTCACGTAGTGTAGCGCAATCCTAATCCAGTTTGTATCGAGAATTCTTTGGACGGATTTGTTCGTCGATTTGGCCCCCTACAGCAGGGGCAAATTACATCATGAGCGCATGCACGCAGCTACGTATTAGATTCGAAGTGTGTATGATTTCTGCAAAGCTGCGTGCATTTTGACCCACTAACCTGATATACTATGGAGTATCTCATGAGGGCTAGCAGTATTATGTCGGTATATACACGAACCTTTAGGAGAGTGTGTGTACCAAGAAAATGCAAGTGACAAGCGGGCATACCACAAGAAAGCGTTTCACAAGTATTTTATACCATGCCATGGAAACTACAGTGGCCAATACAACTTGAATGCGACACACACGTAACGCACGATGGGAAGGTTGGCTGCAATACCATCGACGGCTTTCCTGATTCTGATTGGCTGTATTTTTTTATTGCATAATATAAATATATATGGAGTGGAGAGGAAACTGCGCTAAAAGCTTTTTCAAATTTCTTAAAAAAAGAAATGCTTATGACTATACCTTATCAGAAACAAACTCCATTTCCTCATCTGTAAGTTCATTAGCTGTGATGGCTCGCAAGGTTTGTTTGAGATCTTCCTTGCCGAGGTAGTCGTCCTGATCAAAGTCTTGATAGACGGAGAGAGCAGAAATAACGAATGAATACAAAAAGTATAAACATGTGAAAACAGGCCGTTCCAAAGATAATCGCAAACTGCCGTGTCAGCAGTTTTGCAAGAAATGTAGGGACGAATGTGGGTGTGGTGAATACATAACACAGAAACATAAGGTGCAAATCCACTAGTTATCCATTGAAGTGAGGTCTTCACAGCGTATGATAAACAAACGGTGAAACGACAGGTCATTTAGTAACTTTACCAAATATCTTGAACGCGTATTTTGTCTTGAGTTCTCTGGGAGCCTGTGGAAAGATCAGATCAGGAGAAAAATCTTTTCACTTTAAATTTAGACCCTGCCGTGAAGACTCCAGTAAAACCAGGAGTCATTATTATCGTTATTAACAATATACTGATTCGTTAGCGGCAACCACAGTAACGATAGAAACATAATAAACAACAAATTGGAGAAGAACTATGGTAGAACAAGAAAAAATCCGTGGAAACCTGTGGAATATCGAAGCAAACGTACAAAATGAAGCAGCGGGAAAACACGCCAGGACTGGTGATGGCTTTGCATATGATTGGCTGCGTAAGTGACGTATGTAAATTCTCTTTAACCAATCACAAGGCTTAAAAGAAGAAAACCAACTAAAGTAATCATGGACAGATTATTGACGACCCGCAGAGGAAAAACTGCTCTAAACATGGTCCCGTGCAATACGAACTTACTGACTCGCTCAGTACTGACATCATGTTGAGGAAATCGTCAAATGTCAAGCTGCCGTCCCCGTCAGGTGAAAAAACTTCACAGATTCGTCGTCTAAAGGGATTTTCCTGCCATAAAATATAAAACAAAGTACAGACTATAACAAATAAGTCAGTCTCGGGATACTCAACTTATGAATGTAATAGCAATGGTTCTCGGTAGAGGCTAAGCGCAGTGTTAAGGTTTAGGCAGTGAGACCAGACATAGTTGCGTCTTCTTGACAATGGAAATGGGATGTCAGCTTGCTTTGACAAAAGATCTTCTCTTCTTAGAATTTCTGTGATGCCGTTCTCATCAGAATCGTTAAACGCTTTTCGCAGCTTAACTTATGGCCGGCAAGTCTAAGCGGTCGCCTTACGGCTTTTTCACCGGAAAGATGATTTCGAAAACTTTGACAAGGCGAGAAAGCAGGAGGCCGCTCCTGGGAAGGTCATAACTCGCAGACCAATTTTGCCAAACGCGGTAAAACTAAGTTGCAAAGCCAAAGGAACGATTACGTTTAGCTTAGTGTGGAATTGGAAGTACGAACTAAGGAATATTGGTCATAGGAACACCGCTGGTGGTTCTAAGTGTGCCTTACTTTCAATTCTGGAAGTTGTTGGAGAAACTTATACTTCAACTTTGGTTGAACATCCAGTTCCGTGAAGTCCTCAGGTATAAGGTCTGTGTTCAGGTCTCTGTATCTCTGATGAATCCTAAGGAGAAATAAAATCAATAGCCAAGAGAGGAAGAGGGATAAGAAAGCTATTCCCAAGGTTATTTTTAGAGTTGGAACCCAGTTCTCCCACCGATAATTTTGCCACACGCGTTGCGGGAATGTTTTCGTGTGAGGGTGAACATTTTTGTAAACCCGCGTGCTGTCCAAGTGATAAAATTAAAATTCGTTTCAGCTTTTTCTAGGCTTTTCTGGGACTTACAAAACTGGGAGTGATGTGAAGATTACCTTGGGAAATAAGGCCTCTTACTCTTCATCTTCTGTTACAATAGCCATAGCTTGATAATCATTTCAGGGGCTTCGAATAAAATCTCAGGGGAGATTACTGCTTTCCCGGGCTTTGACTGAAGTAGTCATGTTTACATAGCCTACTGCAAACAAGAGACTGGGGCAGAGCGCAAACGTTTACAAGCGTGAACGAGATTCACAACTAGATCAGATCTAAACTCGAGAGAGTAAAATAAGCACTTCGCTTGCAGCTCGAGTGTTAACATCGAGCTATGTTAGTACCAGGGACAAATTTATATTTGTCTAGTCTTATTATTGAAAATTTAAAGAAATACTGAGGAAATAAATCATTGCACTTGAGTGTATGACCATGATGTATTAATTAAATCCTTGTCTTGCATCTTACAACTGAAGTTAGAAAATCGAACCTAATTAGGCTGAATATTTGCTGCAGATTTGCATATGTTTGTCCGTATTGAAACTAATTTCCATCCTTGCCAGCTACAAAATGTTGTGGGATCCTCGGATATTATGCACCATCGTTTTATAAGCCAATTAATGTCTGGGTCTCTATTAAATGATGTGGCTAAATATGTTATTTTAAGCTCATCTCAGTCGCCAAATTCTCATTGTGCTAGAAATTGGTGGAGTGCCCCTTTACAAAATAGTTGGTTTATATTAAGATATGCGATTCTGTTCTTATATTTCGGCTGTGGTCTACCTCACTGAAATACGCGAAGCATGCTACAGGCAGCGTTGAAATAATGACAGTAAAGAATTGAAAACATCCTTTTAAAGATAAACATTAGCCATGATACTGGAGTTGAAACACCGGAGAGACCTACCTTAAAATATCATTTCGATTAAAGTAAGTGCAATCCTAAACAGGAAAAAAGTAAATATCGATCAGTTAAGAATGACGATTTAAGAAAAGGTTTAACGGCGAGAAATTACTAAAAATTGAAAACCTGATAGTCTTCGAGCTGGTCTTCCGTGAAAGCTGCCTGTTTGTTTCCCATGGTAAACCAAACGAACTATTTTGGAAAACTGTGTGGTAAGAAAACCGTGTGGCAAGAAAACTGTGCGGCAAGAAAACAAGTTTTCTTTTCCGAAGTGGATGGTATTGATTTAGTTTCACATCCGTGATCTCTTGCACCTGTTTTGCTCCGTTAGAAAAACTAAAACAAAACAAGGAATTACATTGGTACGTCTATTAAAAGACCATGTTGTTTGCATTTTTTGTTTGAATACCCGTTGTGTCTGCAGCTTATAAAGAGCCTCCATTTTGCATTATCCCCGCTGTTACCGACCTCATTTGTTAATAATTAATATCTTCTCGAAGAATTATTATAATCGTCCTTTTCTGACTCGAAATTATTCGCGCCGGATAACGTTGCGTGACTTGCGTGACTTTCAATTTGTTACCATGCAAGGAATTCAAGATCACACACTAGTAAAGGAAGATTGAAATGAAATGTACCGAGATTACGGAAACGATTCGTTAAAGTAGTGAATCATAGCTCGAAACCCTTAAACTTCTGCCAACCTTGTATGTCTTGTATCACTTTTCAAGAGAATCCAGGTGTGCACGTGGAAGAGCGAGAGATTCCAGATTATAAGCACGCTCATGATCCTACCTTGTATGCTATTGACAAAGGTTTCTGTTTAACCTCCAACTTATAAAATAAATTCTTTGAGCGATATATTTTGGGTCGAGATACTTGAAATAAA